TTGAGGTCCAGATTATAGATCATTCCGGATTATGGGTGTCCGAATTAACGACTTTTGACTGTATAAAGGGTGGGGGTACTTGGAGTTTCTGAGCGAGAAGTGAAACATAAGAATTTCAAAATGTAATGAAGCGCTGTTAAACAACTTTCCGCTTTTGTGGATGTGAATTCTTTTATAAAACAGCCTCGAAATTTGTTGACTTATCAACATTTCAGCGATTTTAATATCAGTTTCTATAGAAAATGTTTAATTCGGAGATCTGGGAATTTTTCGTCGATTTTTTTTTAAAAAACATTATAACATTGATAAATTTAACTAAATAATGGTAATATATTGAAATTATATTTAGGAAATAACATTAAAAGATTTATATTTTTTTGCTGTCATATTTTGAAGAAACATTACTTTCCGTTTTGGTGACTTATTATGCAGTATTTTGAATATGAAAAATAAACAAGATAATAAATGTTATAAAGCACAGTTTACAAAACAATTCATAGCAAAACTAAAATAGCTATGCAATTAATTAAAAATTTCCTTTCAATTTTTTCATGGTAAAAAGTTTTCCCAGGTAATTGTTTCAGAATATTCAGAATTATTAAAATATGCATCTGTTTTCTCTATAAAATTAATTTCATACTTTTTTTCCACTGATTTTTTTTTTTCAAGTAGGGCTAATTTTTCTTTAGGATTTTAGACATTGCAACTTGGAAAGTTTAGAAGGATTTGAAGGCAAGATTTACAGATCCACAATTGAAGGCTGCATTAAAATGTGACAAAATAAAAAAATATCTTCATTGTATTAACACATAATGGGTGTATTTTACAGAAATTTTATGATGAATTTCTTACATTGTGAAGAATTTTTGGAAGGACACTGAAAATATAATATTTGAATGCTGTACTTCTGATGCTAAAAGTCTTTTTCTTAACATGTTTATCTTCTCTTTATTTTCTCAACTTTTCACTAGACACAAGCATCAAAAATACCAAAAATGTTTGTAATCTTTTTGCCTGGACAGACATTTATAAAAAAAGATTTTTTTTATTAATAAAGAAATTGAAAACTGACAATTTAAACAATTCACCTTATACATCTCGATGGATCATACACAGGGCTGGCGCTGGGCTTTTTTCCACCAGATGAAATCTCTATAGTTCCTAAATTCTGCTGCTTAATGCTCTCCAAAATTCTGCTCCCAGTCCCTGTCCAAAATTCTAAAAGTTTTGCCATTTCTAGATTTTGTTGCTCGGCGTGTCACTAAAATCTAAAAATTCTGCCTCATTGGCTCAAACCAGCCCTTACCACATATCATTTTATATTTATTCTGAATGTTCATATTACTAAAGAAATAAAATTAGCAGCTTTTACTTTATATTCTAAATGCATTTGGTTTTTTAGAATAACAGAAATCTTTAATTCACAAAATTCTGAAGTGAAGAGGAAACATATTGAAAGAAACTGAATACATATGCAAATTAATCAGTTGTTTAGAATTTTAGCCTTTACTATAGCTTTCCCTTTCCGTTACCTCACCATAATGCAAATCAGATAGTTTTTAAACTGAGATATTTGTATTGTAAGACAAAGTTTTTGCCCTCCACTTGGATGTTGTCTTAGTTCCTTCTACGTCTGATAATTTGTAATTATTCATCTTTGCATTATCATTGCTAATATTTGAATTTGTTACTACAATAAAGTTACTGAGTCACCTTAGATTAAATTTAAATTGCGCAGTCTTTGAATACTACTCCACATTTTTATTTTGAATTTGGCTGTTCCTGTTTACTTGCATCACCAAAACCTGTAGTTTTTATTTTGCCAACATAACGTAAGAACGTGCCTGTATGTTCCAAGTTCTTTTTAAATTAGAGATTTATTTAAATCTTTATGTGACGCTGTAGCTACCTTCAGACATAACGATAATTTGCTTCATGTCTATCAGAGTTTTTGGATTATTTAACTTTTACCTGATCACGTAAAACCTCTTTAAAAGTACACTGTTGAGAGACTGCTAGTTAGGAGATAAAGCACGCAGAAACTAGTAGGAACTAAGTTTGTTTATTGAAACAGATTTCTAATTGTTAGAAAAACCCCTTCGAGCTGGGTAGCGAAAACGCGCGCTTATCGCGGAGGCCGGCAGTGTCTTCCGCGAGTCTCTCTCCAGGGCCGGGGGCTATTTTGCTACTAAGCCTAAATCCATGAAATTTCCGAAATATCAACGCATTGTTTAATAATGCTCTATAGAGTATTTAAACGGCTTATGCTTTATAGATATTTTTATATATATATACTTTAATTATCTTATTTCTTGTTTAAATGCATATTTTACACATTTTATTTTAATTACTCACCATTTTAATGACTTTAATATTATACATCTGAAAACTAAATATATTACTTAAAATTCTCTTTTCGTATGAAAAAACTTGAAAATAGGGATCTACACACAGTCCTACGTTACATTCCTTGAACTCGTAATAAATCATTTGCCGTTTTGGAGGATTTTAAAAAATTTTCCGGGAATGGATGAACCATGGACGAAGCACTTGTCGTCTTCGATGTTTCTTCGGCATGCAGATATCTTCTGAACAAAGTTTTGGAAAATCATCATTTCAGTTCGCCAGATTCTTTATGATCAGAATATATCATAGAGTCACTATCACTACTATCAGAAACCTGTTTCAGAATCAATATCTGAAATATTTTGCATCATTTCTGCTATTTCATGCTCTGTTAAACATTTTCGACGCTTCGACATTGCAACGGTAAAAACAGAAAGAATTCACGTCTAACAAGATCTAATTATTTTCTAAAAACTGAACTGTAAACCGAAATACTCAACGCTTTGGCACATATAAAACTTCTACTTACAATAAACAACTACCACGTGCGAATAAAGTGCGATTTAAAGAGACGTCATAAATCACGCCATTCGGAAACATTTAGTTCCCCGTTTGTTTATATAATCAAAAACACGTGTATGTGAGTCATGCTTCTCTCATTTCGAGTAGAAGGTCTGATGTACATGTATCTGAAACCATATGGACATACAGTGCCATCTTGTGGCAGAAATTATAGTTTGAAAAACGTTCCAGGGTACTGGCACAAATACGTGACAGTCAGTAGTAAACGGGAAAATGCTCTGGCACGCCTGCGTGTCGGCCGGTAGGTGAGTGCGTTCGTTGTTGGCACGTAGACGTGACAGTCGGCGTGAAGGGGTTAAAGAGAAGAAAATTGATATAAATTACCCAAAATGTCTAGGAACACTTCGAATTAAGAAAAGACACATAAATATTTTGTTTTGTAATGTGTAATTATCCTAATACTGTTTAAGAATCGGTGTCATAAATTACATTTTAAACTTTGAAATGTTATTAGATTGTGATTTTAATAATGGTCATGTAACTTTGTAACGACTGAGGGTATTTAACTACCTAATTTAATTATTTATAACTAACTGCTCATCTTTAAAAGTTATTTATGCATATTAAAGCATGTTATTGCTTTTCATTAATCCTTAGGGCTCACCAGCGGCCGAGCGGCAAAGTCGCTGAATACTGGTAGTTCGGTCCGAGGTTCAAATCCCCCGAACGGGCTGGCTGCATGGGTGTTTTCGTGGTTTTCCCCATGTTTAACGTGTATATGAGCCAGTTTCCCTTAGAAAGTCCTCCACGAAAGGCATCCCTCCCCTTTGGCAGATAGCCCTAGTGTGCTTTGCCATAATTATATACACCACACCACCACCACACCATCATTAATCCTTACTGTGGCCACAAGATATGGCACGAAAATGTAAAAACTTAAAAACTATTGTAAATTTATTCTTTGCATCTAGTGAGACTTAAAATAATACGAAACAACTTATCACCTTGGCTTATTGGAACCTTAAAATATATTAACCAGGTTACAATCCCAGAAAATTTATATGAAGGTAGAGGCATTAGGATTTTTTTTAAACAGGAACAAATGAAAAATGAACAAGTGCCTTCACCGAGAATCGAACCGCGGACCTCTGGAATGCGCGCCCAGCGTGCAGACCACCACACCACAAAGGCATGCAAAGAAGGCGGGAGAAATACCTTATGTACGGGACCCAATCGCCAAATCCTGGGTGAGGAGAATCATCATCCACCACCCTTTTAGTTCGGGTGCCTCTGTAGAGACATTAGGTAATTTTTGGAAGCAGGAAAGATGACGAGCGGACCTCTTGAATACAAGCCGAATGTGCAGACCACCACACCACGAAGACATGCCAAGAAATGTGGGAGAAATACGTTATACACTAATTGCTTTAGACAGACGAAGCACAACCTAACTTTCAAAACTTGCCAGCTGTGCCCACAACAGGCTTTCAGGTTTTTTCTGATTAACAGGTCTCTCTCCCGGCAAGCAGCAATACTAGCAACAGCTAATCTTCTGTTACAAATCATGCTGATTATGATTTTATTTCTCGTTTTAACCTATGCCATTTGACATAAAATTTACCTGCTATTTAATAAACTCTAGACTGAGTAAGTACATGGCAAAATGAGACATAAAAGAAAAATCAGCATAAAGCTGTTAATAAAATGTAAATGAAATGACCCCAATCTTCTTTCAAATATGTCCAACTATTATACGTGCAAAATATTTAATGCAATTTATAAACTTTTATAATGTGGATTTCATTCTCAAATTTGTTTTAAAGTTATGTTTAATAAGAATGCATCCTACTTACGGATCTATTTTATTCTCAGAATGTTATTACAAAAATAAAATTCAGATATAAGCTGATTGAATTGAATTTTTTAGCTCCTATTGGCTGATAGGTCCGTAATTTTTTTCATTAATGGTCCTTAAAAGTCCTTAAAAATATTTAATTTCCATGTGCAGAAATGTGTACGAACCCTGAGTGAAGTCTTGGATGAAAGTTTTACTGTGACTCAACTTGGGAAGACACTGGAAATTTATAGTGGAGGTGGGGTCCCTTTCTTCGTTAAACAGCTGCATTGAAGTATGAAATGCTACCCCTCAGGTATACTTGTAAATTGGCTGATGACTCAGAACAGTAAACTGAACTTAAACTTGCTCTTATTCTAATGTCATTTCTCTAGTCTATGGCAAGAACAAACAAAAGTTTTTCTTTAAAATTAAATTTCAAAGTGATCTCAAATATAATTCTTCAATATAAAGGTAAGTTATTGATTTGTAACATCTAAATTAATCATAAACTAAATTTTTATAATTTAAAACTTGCTAAAAATTCAATTTAGCTAAACTTTTAATCCATTTATCAGAAAAATCCAAAATTATCACCATTAACAATGCAAATGTCTACTAATATTAATAACATATTGTTATATTAATATGAAATATTTTTATGATAAATATGAAATATAAATATAATCTATGTTTCCATACATTAAGAAAATCATAACAGGTCAAAATTAAACAAAAAAAAAAAAAAAAAAAAAAAAAAGTCCTGCGCTATAGTGCAGGATCGATCAACCAATCAATCGGCTCGACAATCGAAAATCAATCAATCGACTTGAATGGAGCTCATCCAACATCTTAAAAGCGTTTCTATTAATATGCAAGATATGAGAAACAAGTTTGAAGAGATTATCAAATAAGCTGAGTTTATTGCAAATAAATGGGGCATAGAAACTAAATTTGAAAAATAAAAGAAGAAAATGAAAGAACCTAAAACACTGTCATTGTTAACAAATACGGAAATTATTAATAATGTTCCAAAAATACAGAAAACATATAAAGAAGACTTGGACTGGAAGTACAACTTTTATTATTTATAAATACTTTCAGAACAGAAATCCATAATTTAAAATCCATTAAGGATTTAGCTAAATTAGCAATGGTAAAATATTATGACATGACAAGCAGTTATTTGGGAGTGTGAAATTCACTTATATCGTATTTATCATTACCTGTAACCACAGCCACAAGTGTGAGGTCATTTTCAAAAAACATATTTAAGAAACAGTATGACACAAGATCAGTTGTCAAACCTTTCACTATTGAGCATTGAAGCTGAGATGGCTGAGAAAATGGACGTCCAAGTATTGATTAAATAATTTTGCGGAAATGAAGGTTAGGACACGCAAATTTTAAAAGGTTTTTTTTTTTTTTTTATGATGAATTTTGGCCACCAGTGTTATCATTACACTTATTGAGTGAGGAAAAAATTAGAGAAGAAGAGCAGTACGGACTGAGGAAAATTAAAAGGAAACAGTAAAAAACTTTAGCATTCATATTTTTTATAAAAAACCATGTATTCAAGTAGTTTAGTGTACCAAAAAGGTTTTTTTTTAAAAAGACAGAAAAAAACTTTACCATACATATTTTCTACAATTCAAATAGTTTTCTTTATGAAGTTTATGATAAATATGTCTTATATTTAACAATTGTATCATTTACATTATAAAAGTTCTTATTTATTACTTGTATATTATTGCATAAATCATGTTTGCTGAGTAAATCACTATAGTGCTATATATTAATGTAATAGCTTTTCTGTATGTTTATCAATTATCTTGTCTGTCAGTTTATAATATAGCTAATTATTTATAAGTTTGCTAACTTAAGTGAAAAAGCTTACATAGGCGCAGATTTTATATAAAAATTTAAAACATTAGTATGTAAAACTTCTTGGATTTTATATAAAAATCTCCGTAAATCTAGGCTTTCTTCCTTTTGTTAATGCTATACGTCGACTCTCGCACTCACACAAAAAGTTTTAAGTAACCGAATTAAAATCATCTGACGTCAAATACCCAGACTAAAGCAAATTTTCATTGCACCAGTTGGTCAAGGGAAGTTATTTTCCTTTTTATTCTTCATGTTACGTACCTTTCAACTGGTTCCCTAAGAACGTGCTTTTATTTTTTAACAATTAATCCAGATGTGATAAAAATCATGATGAAAACATTGGCTCCTGAAAATTCTTGATTTTTTTAACTTTTCGCTTTTTTTTAAAATTTTTAAAAATTTTTTTAAGCATATTAAATTTATTGGGAAAGGGGCCCAGGAAAATTTTTTGCATAGGGGCCCAAGAGTTCTAGTTACGCCACTGCTTAAAAACATAATATTATATATTAAAAATACTTATTTTTGATTGTTAATGGAAACTAAAACTTACATCTTAATCTTTTTAGTAGAAGTTTAATATTCATCTGTTATTCTCTAATAAAAATGTATTTGCTTTAAAAATACTAGATTTTGGCTAAATCCTTCAACTGTGTAAAAGTTATGAAATATATAGCATTAAAAAGTTCCATACTTAAATTTTATAAATAAAAACTAATTAAAATTTTTTAAAATTAAAATTGAAAATTTGAATTTTGATAGTTTTATTGTCTCTGGTTATGTGCAGGTATAACTCTTCACATTCGTAATGACAACTGCTGCACGACCCACATTTGAACCTGCTAGAGGGGGTGGTGGCAGAGGTGAGAAAGATCTTAGTGCATTGTCAAAACAGTATTCAAGTCGAGATCTTCCAGGACATACGAAATTAAAATACAGGTAAGCATTATTTATTATGCAGAGGATGTTTGCTACTTTTTATGTAATTCTAATGCAGCAAAATAATCAATTTTGTATTTTTTTTAAGTATTTTTTTTTTAAATGTGTAGTCTGATAGTAGTCTTTCTTTTTAATGTGTAGTTTCTTCCCTCCGTGTACGGCTCGATTTTGATACATTCTGGTCCTGAAATACGGGGCGTTTTTTTAAATATTTTCTCTATCTTCATATATTACTATTCACATCTTTGTTAACAAAATTAGTATAATGTAGGAACTTTAATAGTCTTTTAATTAAAAAAAAAAAAACATTCAATACAGCCCGCACAATTTTAGCGTGCATGGAATAAAAATACACAGAATCTTTTTGATTTTGATAAATATACATGCTAGCTAATTTGTACAGCTAATAATATTACTTGTACTCACTTATTATTATACAGAATTTTTTTTAGTGTGGTAAACTTTTAAACATGGCTCTAAACATAATCCAACTTTACATTCTTCACACTAAATGAGAGTTTTTTTACGTATTTTTTTCCCCATTGTTGTCTTTTTTTCAAGCAACACACAGCACATTGCCTTCCAGGTTCCTTTTTTATAGAATTTGGTGGTATGTGTCTTGCAGAATGCTATCTTATGGCAAATAAAGTTCATACTATCATCACTAGACTATACTGATGAGCATATAGTAGAAGAGTATTTGTCAAAGATTTCCTTGATTACAAGTAGTTTGAAACCAAGAAGGGACTTTTCCGTGTTTGTTATTTTTCTGTATATTAAATACAAATTCCACATTGTTTGATCCAATATATGGGAAAACATTTTCTTGTAGTATTTACAAAGTTGTTTTCGGGTACTAGGGTAGTACGACATCTCCTGATTGCATCTGTCGACACCTCCCATCGACACCCCCAAATTAGCTAGCAAGTTATAATCCTAAACCACTTTTGGCTTTAGTTTTTTTTTGTCGTGCTTGAATAAAATGATACAGATGACACATCATGAACTAAGCATATTTACTATTTTCTTTTCATTTTACAATGAAAGATGCGACAGTGTTGCTTGTGTTCGCTTGTGAAAAACAATAGCCCTTACAATGATATAAAGCTGTAGTGCCATCTAGGTGTGAAATGAAACGTGAAATATGAATATTACAATATTCTTAGCCTACATGGAGAAAAGCAGGATTTGTATTGAAAATAAGAGAAATAAACTTTTGGCTTTAGCTTATAGGCATGCTATTTTCACGCTACTCATATTACGAGATGGATTTTGTATCCTGTGGAAATCGTAAGGGGCATAAGTGGAGGGTGCATTTTGATTTCCAAGACAAAAAGGATTTTTTTAATTTACCCTAGGAATGTGGTGTGTATATGTTGGGAATACATTTATATGTGAACAGCTTTTTCTTGACAATGAAAATTTAAAAAGAAAGGTAAAAGTATATTTTATAATAATTTATAAGGTAAAAGTATATTTTAGGGTACCACTTGGCGATTTTTGCAATTCTTTGACTTGTTATTTTGTCTTGCGTAGTGGCGATTTTTGCATAAAAAAATCGTTGCTACTCAAAGCCAAAATAACAAGACAAAGAATTGCACAAACTCGGTATCCATGTACACATCAACCTATTTTCACTTAAAAAAAAAATCCCAAAATTGCACAAAAATGGCATTGTGCACTCCTTTGACTTTATCTATGTACATATCAACCTATTTTCACTTAAAAAAAAATCAAAGAAATGCACAAACTAGGCTAAATCATCACTGCACAAAGACAAAATAACAAGACAAAGAATTGCACAAACTTGGTATTCATGTACACATTGACCTATTTTCAGTTGGGAAAAAAAATCCCAAAATTGCACAAAAGGGCAATTGCGCACTCCCTTGACTTTATCCATGTACACATCGACCTGTTTTCACTAAAAAAAAAAAATTGCACAAATTATGCCGTATGCACTCCCTTGAGTTTGTCCATGTACACATCAATATATTTTCACTTAAAAATCAAAGAAGCTCCCAATTTTACAGTAGACACAAAGAAAAATACATAATCTCAATAAACTACATTTTAAACCAAACAATAAATAAGATAACATAAAAAAGGAAAAACATTTTATGCATTTAAGCACTACACAAAGCAAATATCCACTTACCTTATTGAGAAATTCATTCATCTTCAGTCTGCGGCACACAAAGTTCCTTAACAGCATCTAAAAACTTACTAAAATTATCTGAACTAGAATCTGTATATTGGCATCACCACATAAATTCACAAAAATAAGAGTAAAAAATATGCTACGTAGTTCCGAACTGTCCAGAAAATGGCTACTAAGTAAACTTTCATTTACACACCAGTCATTTAATCCACTTTCCCCCTTTCGTTCCAAATCATACAGAAACTTCAAATTAATCTTACTACATTCCTCTATTGTTCTGTCTAAATAATGAAACAAGCAATGTACCTCCTAAGCAACACATACTCCTAAGCATACAACAAAAGCCTTTGCAAAACATCCCATGATTCAAAATTTCCGAGAATAATGCAAGCGATTATGTCATAATAGGGTTTTCATAACATTCAACTAATCAGGTTACCATAAATGATACAACAACTTGGCGATAAATGAAACAACAACATCGCGATAATACAAGGGGTACCCTAAAGTCAACTCTAATCCTTAATAATTATTTAGATAAAAATGTAAATATTTTCATTTATACTTTGAGAAAAATTTAATAAATAAAAGACATTAGGTTGTTATTATTTGTTCTCAAGTTTTGTCCTACTTAATAAATTTTCTTTGAGAACTCGGAAAATTTTCATAATTTGTTTAATTTCTAATTTAAATTGAAGTAAGTTTTTTAATGAACTAAACATGCTAGAATTATTTGAAAGAAATATCAGTATAAGAACTTAATATTTAGCTGTCAACATATTTGAATTACAAAATGTAACCAATAAAAATGTCTTATAATTACTAAGCGTAATTATTTTATAAATTAGATTTCAGGTATTATATATTGGGAGTACAAATAATTCTCCACTGTTTGACAAAAAAAAAAAAAAAAAAAAAAAAAAAAAAAAAAAAAAACCACCAGTAAATTAGGTTAAAATTGTTTACTGTAAAATGTCATAATGTAAGTTTGGACATCTGCTAACAACATGACTTTAAAATATTAGCAATTTTGTATCTGCATAGTATATTGTTTTCGTGTGAAAATGTGTTGTTTTGAGTCAAATGAGTGTCATTTGCAGGAACTTTTGATTTACTTCTTTAATTTGAAGAAATCTGCAGCTGAGGTGCATTGATTGCTTGTAGAAGTTTATGGTGATGCTGCCTTAAGTGAGAGAAGTTTTGAGAAGTGGTTTAAAAAATTTAAGAACAGACTTATTTCGATGTTGAAGACAAAGAGTGGAGCGGAGGGATGAAAGTGTACGAAGATGCAGAATTGGAAGCATTACTGGCTGAAGATTCATGCCACATGCAAGTATAACTTGCAGTTACATTTGGACTTAACAAGCAATTTCACATCATTTAAAATCATTGGGAATGATTCAAAGAAATTGGGTTTCAGTATGAACTGAAGCCAGGAACGTTGAATGTCAATTTTTTACACTTGAAGTTCTGCTCATCAGGTATAAGCAAAAGGGGTTTTTTGCATGTATAGTCACTAGTGATGAAAAATGGATCCGCTAAGATAACCTAAAGAAGAAGAAATCAGGTATACCACCTGGCCATGTTTCAACATTGACAGCCAAGCCGAATATTCATTGGGGGAGGGGGAATCATTCTGTGTATATAGTGAGATGAACTTGGTGTTATGTATTATGAGTTGCTCAAACTGAATAAAACCATTAATAAGGCTCTTTACCCAACAGAGTTGATGAGAGGGAGCTAAGCACTCCAAGATAAATAGTCTACTACTACTTCAGACATGACAAAATTATTCTCTTGCTCCTGCAACGCTCATCTACATGTTGTGGCACCAGTCAAAACCAACTGTGAAACATTCAGATGAGAAGTTTTTCCTCTCCTGCTGTATTCACTAAATATTGCTACTTCTGATTACTACTTGTTTCAGATGATGATGCATGGCCTGTGTAAGCAGCACACAGGGTTCGTAGCCGTCCTTACAAGTGCTTATAAGTCCTTATATTTGAAAATAAAATATAGAGGCCCTTATAGGTGCTTACTTTTTCTTTAAAGCCCGCCGAAACTAAATAAAAAAACTTTTCTTCCTTATATGGAACGTCAGATGGTGAATCATACTCCCGGAAATAGCTTTCCCCCCTTTCTCTGCATTAACGTAACCTATGGTGCGCGCGAGAGTATAGACAGGTGTACGTCGTTTTTTTGGTCAAAGAATTGCGAAAACCGTAGAAAATTCCGGTAATTCGGTATTCCTTTTCCGCCCACCCAAATACTACACACGTTTGAATTTCTATCAAGATTTTAATAATTTGCATTCTCGTTCCGCGTGGTCAGTTCATATTCGTGTTTATTATGATCGTTATGCTTATATTATGAGCATATGTATGAATATTTATAATAATATAGTTGCAGTAGCTGCTGAAGTGTAGATAAACTTCCAAAAATGGGTGTATTTTTACACATATTAGCTTTCTAAGGAATAATATTCGGAATGGCTTAAATAAAAGAAAAGTAATCGAATAGTCAGAATATTCCCCCCCTCCCCGAATACATTATACAGAACTGAGGTTGGGAGGTTGTGAGGGAGGTTCTCCCCTTTCTCCGCAAAATCTCTAATATTGAAGCAGCGCACTTTTTTTTTTTTTTTTTTTTTTGGTCTTTGGTCACTGTCCAATCTGGATTGAAAAGGACTAAAAGTTTTGCGGTCTACCCAACCCAAGCGAAGAATGAAAATTGTGGAAATTTAACGCAATCTGTTTAAAATTAGAATCAAAAACACCCCAGATTAGTAAGTCTCTTTCTTTTCCTTTATTTAGTTCTTTATTCTCCGAATACCGGCAGC